GAAACAAAGAGCAACTTTAAGGTCTCTTTTTGTAGACGGTCTGCGAATACTGTGGCACATGCTTTGGCTAGGTCACATGTAGCACTCTCATATCACAGTATAGATTATAATTGTATTCCTGATTGTATCTAGTGCCATTTGGCGAATGACCTTTTAATACAATATCTTTAGTTCGATGACCAAAAAAATTATGAAGAATCTTTACCCTGCATAGATAACATGCTTCCAAGTCAATGGCATGTTTCATCCTTTTGTTTTGAATGTAATAAAGTTCCGATCATGTCATTTTTTTCACCAAATTCACAACCCAGATGAAATTAAGAAATGGAGTTTCATTATATTTATTTGAGGGAAAAGTACCAAATTAGCCATCAAACTAACATTGATAGTACGTGCAAAACACCCCTTAAACGAAAAAAAACCACCAATCAAACCCTCCAAATCGGCGAAAAAGTGCAAATCACTCCTTCAGTTAAAAAAAACTGCAATCAAATTCTCTAACTCGGTGATATAAAACAAATGGTTTTCCTAAGTTGTAATTTACCGGTTAAAGCTTATGTATGTCATTTAATGAAATAATCATGCCACATAAGATTCTGATAGAGTATTTAAATCTATAGAGAAGTGAGAGCTAGAGAGAGAAAGTGAGCAATTAATATTTGTCAACCCCCTATAACTACCCCTTAGGGGCTAATTATATGAGTAAATGTGAATTTGGGCTCCTAGTGCAGGGCGTATTAGGAAGCCCATTACAATAATAAGGCCTACAATGGGCATAATAAGGTCTCTAGTGGGCTGAGTACATGATTTATTTGACCAAGTATAAAAACCTATTCTGCCAGAGTATTCTTGGCCGATGTGGGTGCCAGGCCGAAGGGGTGCTAGGCCGACGGGGGACCCACTTCGCCCGGGGCTTCTGTGCTTTGATCTGAGTCCTTTTGATTTAGGCCAATGGGGTGCCACCTGGCCGACGGGATGCCACGTGGGTGACAGTCTTCTGTGATTAGTCTTCTGAGTATGTGGGCCAAGGCGTCCGGGCCCATTACTCTATCACATTCATCTATTCACTTCATATTTAAATTACTTAAAAAATTATATTAATAAAAACAACAAATTATACACGTTAAAAATGAAATGTATTTAATTGGGAAAAGTACAGAAAAAGTACATGTGATTTGGGCCGTTTTCAGATAGGCGCACATGTTTCATTTTTTAACAAAGTGGGACATGTGGTTCAATTCCGTTATAATTTTTTATAAAAAACTATACGTTAAATTAAGTAGTACAATGGTTACTTGCTATACATAATTTTGAAAATATGGTGTTATATATTTAAAATACATATGTATATATATAATTGGGAAAATTAAATCCTTAGCAAGTGGGATATTCAAACCAGCTAAATTATCGTAACGGCGGACGTCTCCCTAGAGGTCTAGGGTTAGTTTTTGTTGTGCCGCTCTTCTTCCTCGATCGATGGGGGGGGATTAGGTGTCAGCGGGTTTCTTCGAGTCTGATTGTGATTGGACGTTGTGGGGAGGGTTCTGCCTCAGGCGATCTTCGAACAGGTTTCACGGCGAAGAGGGGAAGCAGGGGCTTGCCTCATTTTGTTCAAGCTGTTTGGTGGCCGATCGATTTGGCTTTGAACGAAGAAGGGAAGATGGAGAAAATTGCTAACAAATACCGGAATATGGCTATCGGGGATCAAGAGGAAGAACTGAACTTTAAGGAGGAGCTGCTTGAGGAGGGAGGAGACTCGGCCGAGAGAGAAGTGGCACCAAGGAGACGGCCCCCTCCTGAACCACCGACATGGGTTGCGCGAGATGCTAGAGTCTGTGAAAGTTTTCCAATAAGTTTTCATTTTTTTTTTGTCATTTGGTTTCTTGTTATCGTCTGTGTTGTTAGGTTTGTCTTTTTGTTTTGGATTTTAGCCTTGTTTCATGTCATTGAGCATGATTTGATCTATGAGAATATGGATGGTTGTGTCAAGTCTGTAACATGGTTAGCGATTTGTGTTACTCTTTCAGAGGTGACCGTTTCTAAAGCTCATCATAGCGTTTACAGTCGTAGTTGCTGGAGTCTAGTTGGTGTTAGTTTTGTTTTCCCTTGATTGATGTAATGATCCTGAAACTTTTGATATGAATAAAGGCTAGTCTTTGTTCCAAATATATATATATATATATATATATATATATATATATATATATATATATATATATATATATATATATATATATATATATATATATATATATATATTCTGGTTCAAATAAGAACAACTCTTATCGTGAGAAATGAGAACAAATCTCAACCATTCAAAACATATGTAGATCTACGATCAATTAAAGGGAGATAAAGGGTAATTTGGTATTCTACTTGTTGGCAATTTTGTAACTGATCGTGTCATTAATGGTGTATTTAATCTTTCACATGAATTGACTTATCCATTTATACAAATCCATGCATGTATCGTTAGTGACCAAGAAAGAAAAGGAAACAAAATGTCCTTCCATTTATTTGATTTTTTCTTTATCTGATCTTTCTTTGCCATTTTTTCGTTTTTTGTGTAATGTATTAAGTGTGAGTTAGATACTCGTTCAAGTGCATTAGATATTAGTAGTTGTGTGTTGGATACTTAGCTTGTTGTGATTCTTGGGCGTATACACGTATAATGCATGAGATATTGATTTTTGTGTATTAGTTATTAGTTTAAAATATATGGAATTATTAATTATGTGATAGGTTAATTTATGATTCTTGTGCGTTAGATACTTATTTTTGTGCTCAAGATATTTGTTATGGTGCTTTATATACGAACTAATGTGTAAAATACTTTTCCATATGCTAGACGTTAGTGATTGTGCATTAGATACTCGTTCTTGTATGTTATATAGTTGTTGTGAATTATTTTCATATGTTTCTTGTGTATTATATGTGAACTATGTGTAACTTCTCCATGTGTATTAGATATCGATGATTGTGCATTATACTCCGTATTAGATACTCGATCATGTGCTCTTCTTGCCATGAATTCATTTTCGGTCTTTCAAAGCAATTTTTGCACAAAAAATTAATGACTAGAAATCACAACAAGCTAAGTATTATATCAATTGATTAGAAAGGTGCGTTCATCCTCAACAAGTATAGTTCTTTCCAAATTTAAATATCGTTATTTAGAAAGGTGCTTTCAATTTTGTCTTACATTTCATAATTTTTTAGGGAGTGCCTTTTTGAGAACCGTAGCATTAATGGTTTATCATTCAAAAATTACAATTATATCCTTATTAATCATCTACACGTTACAACCATTGCAATTAGCCATGATCTTGTGCACATATCCACACTAATAATAAGGTGTACGCCACATCTTTCATCCATTAATTAATCAAGATGAGCGATAGAGATTTGTTCTTATTTCTTACGATAAGAGTTGTTCTCATTAGAACCTCTCTCTCTCTCTCTCTCTCTCTCTCTCTCTCTCTATATATATATATATATATATATATATATATATATATATATATATATATATATATATATATATATACAGGATTATTCCAGTCCGGAATTTCCGGACAGGAGCCCCGTCCAGCCTCCTCCATTTGGCGGCCTTCCCGGTGGTATTTTTTGCTCAAATTTTTTGTGTATGTTCCTCATTAAGTCTAGTTCATCCATACCAAATTTCAGGAGAAAAAAATCAATCGGGAAGGTCGTCAAATGATTTTTGCAAGTTAGCTGGTCTGGAATATGTATTTTCCGGACCAGTTAACTTGAAAAAATCATTTGACGACCTTCTCGATTGAATTTTTTGCTGAAATTTGGTATAGATGAACTAGACTTGATGAGGAACATGCACAAAAAATTTGAGCAAAAAATACCACCGGAATGGCTCCCAAAAGGAGGAGGCCGGACGGCTCTCTGGTCAGGAAATTCTTGACCGGAAGATTACTCTATATATATATATAATTGGGAGGAGTCGATGCCGAAGGCGGAAGGACCGGCCCTGGCATCAGAGGTGGTGGTCGAAGGAGGTTGTTCTAGTGGGAGGAGTCGGTGGCAGAAACCAGAGTATAGGCGAACAAGGAAGAAAGAGAACAAAAAAAGAGGAAAAAGGAAGAAAACGCAAAAGAGAAAAGGGAAAAAAAATGGGAAAGTTCCTGAAATGGGACTAAAAAAGTTTGAAAATTCCAAAATAGGACTGTCATGTTTTTATTCCCAAAATAGGACTAATTACTGCCAAATTTGGAAAATAATGTCATGTTTGAAGTCTGGTACTGCCAAAACATGACAGTAATTAGTCCTATTTTGGGAATAAAAACATGGAAGTCCTATTTTGGAATTTCCAAACTTTTTTAGTCCCATTTTGGGTAATATCTCAAAAAAAATTGGTGAAATTCACACGAATAATTCATACTTTTAAGGATTCTAAAATAATAATCTCTACTCACAGTATACACAAAAATAACCCGAACTAGTAATGATGTTCATACTTCATACGAATAAATTGGGGTGAATTCAAATTAATGTCTCTTGAATACTCTAAATCCTTATTCCCATTTTTCTCTTTTCCGTCATATGTGATTTTCTTTAGATCATAGCTAAAAGTGTTAAGCAAGACGTAAAGTGATAAAGGAAAAAACGGGGATAGGAGTTTAGAATATTAAATGAACATTACTTTGAATTCACTCCAATTTATTTTTGTGGACACTATTGGTAGTGCGAATTATTTCTATAGACACTCAATAGAGATTATTATTGTAAAATTCATAAAAGTAGGAATTATTCTTGTGAATTTCGTCAAAAAAATTTAGAAAACAGTACAAAAATGTCAAATGTGACATCCACGTAGGCGTTCACCCACTTCACCGGGTAACCTGTTGCTAATCTATCAAAAAGTCAATTTGATTATTTTTTGATACTTTACGGACTTGATTGATTCCAAAATAGCAGGTGGACTCAATTGACATTATGTGAAAAGAAGGTGAACCAATTTGATAATTTTCCCATTATAAAAAAAGTATAACTAAATGATCAATACATTGTCCCTTCGATAATCAACAAATTATGTCATTTGAATTTGCAGTCTGCAGGATATTTTATTTAGACATTTAGTTAGTTTGAAATGGTAGTTTCAGGCTGAAACTTTGACTCGTTTATTATTTTACAACAATCATTGCAAGAGTTTGCATTTCAAGGATCAGTTGGCCATAAAATTAAAGGAAAGCACAGGAAATCCCAAATTAGGCTCTCCAACTATCTTCTCCTTCAATAAATGCTCTGATCAGCGCTCTACCATGTAGACTGAAAGATGGCAGCTTCCTTTTTCACCAGCCCTGGGAAGCCGAAATCAAAGAAACTGTTGATAATCAAAGCAACATATATCATCTGGAGACTATTCTATTCCTTAAGAAAGACTTGGGTGTATGTTTGAAAGACTTGATTTGATAGATATCATATGGAGACAATATCACTTTATTTTTGCATAATGTTTCTCTAGTTTCACTTTAGTGAACTAATCTGAATGTCCAAAAACAAGTGGTTGACCTTCACAATGGAAACACACAACATCTTTAAAGAGGTGATGATGATTGAATGAATAATCAGTAATTCTAAGCTTCCAAAATAATAAGACTTGAAGTTTCATTTTAAACGGTAAATGACTCAACATGAGTAACCACTAAAATCTTATATGTTGGCTTGTATCTTGGTCTTTGTGAGATGGCTTAACATGCACGTTGTCATTAGAGCAGATCAATTTTAAAATTCATGCACTTTATTTACTGTTAGCCTGACTAATTTCTCTTTATAACTTAGCAGAATCTATATTAAGACTTAAGGTCCCATCATAAAATGGATAGCAAAATAAAATAAAATCTTATTTGGTCATTTGTATTTTATATTTTTCTTGACACGAGATGATTTAACAAAATAGCTTCTCATTAAGAGATGCTCACAACCACATCCGTGAGCAAAGCATTAAATTACAACACACAAATTCTTAAATTCTTGAGAATAGAAATAAACAACGCACAACTCTCTAGCAAATGAAGGAGTGGAGATTGAGAAAGTATGGAAAGTTTCCCGAAAACAGGAGTATTATACTTTTCTTAGCAAAATAGGAATAACTTAATGCCATCCTAAAATTGTACTGCCATATTTAAGTAGTTTCCAAATATGACAGTAAGTCGGTAATTACTTCTATTTAGAGAATAAAAATATACAACGTATTACTCTTACTTTAAAGTTTCACATTGTTTTTACTCCTATGTAGAATAATTTCTTAATTTATAAAGTATTCATTCATGTGCCAATACTCTTTCTTTAACAAAGGAAAACTTACATTGTGATGCATCATGTATTGGCAAGCTGACATAAGAAGGGCATGATGAGCTTTTCAAAGAGATCTTGGCACTTACACTACTGGATTCTGTTGCACAGTCACGCGGCTACAAGAAGAAAAACAGATAACTTCCTTCTAGTTCAGGTGCGAAAAATCCAGGAATATCATAACTTGACCAAAACTGATGAAGTGTGCACAGTGCGTTATACCATTACAATATACTACGGTATAAAGGATAAAAAATTGGAAATATCAGCACTTCTAAATTAAGGGAAAATCATTGTATATAATGATATTGGAACTTTTCCAATAATAAATCATAATTTGTAGGTTTTCTAATAAAAAGATATTGGGAATTTGAGAGTTGAGACTAACAATATGTCAAATATCTTTTTGTACTTGTGAGAGTTGAGAAAATAAAAAGTTGATTGAAGACCTCGAAGTTCTTATAGAAGCAAAGCCGAAGTTCTTCCAAGGCGTCACCAGAGCAAACAACTTCTGGGTTAATATGGAAAGCATTTTGAATGGCTGAAATGATGCCTTCTAGGGGGTACTTTTCAGAGTTTGAGGGTACATATCCAGCCCTGAACAAAGCTTCCTGCAAATTAGGTTAGTTGGAAGCCAAAACTCAATAGCATTAATGCATTATGCATCTCAATCCAAAAATATATAGATATCAGCAAACATAAAATGATGGCAAGCTTACTGTAACATTGTATTTGAAGTACAGGTTGAGGGCTGTCAGGAAGTATTCTTTTTCATTTTGAACAACTGGATAGGAACATGTTCCATGTTTCTCTGTAGAAATCAAATAGAAGCAGCATAACGATATGAATGATATAATTAGCACTAGCAATTCATGTCTATCATACTAATATAAATGATATAATTAGCACTACCAATTCATGTCTATTCTCATAGTATATCATTCTACAGGATAAAGCACATTGCAGAATTAGAAAAACATTGAAGAATAGAAAATTGAAAGTGAGAGAAGAAAAATTGTTTACCCCACTGAACAGAAGTTCACAGAGCCAACCACAAGCAGTACACAAGGAGAATAAGTTAGTTTCTTGTAATATAAAGAGAAAAGAGTCCAACAAGGCCTTCTACTATTATGAAATCTTCACATAAGGCCATGTACTCAATAAAGTGTCATATAAATACGTCTACTTAAAAAAAGCAATCAAATGAGTCAAAATGGCCTTTTGACAATCTCGTAATCTCGGATTTAGCGTAAGTCTAACTAACTTTTTAAAATAGATTATATGATTGACGTGGAATATTTAGTTATGATTGACTTAAATACAAGATAAAAATAATGACATGTGAGCTAAAGTCGTGATTAGAGGTTGTCAATGGGTCATTAGGACTCATCTAATTGCTTTTTATAAGTAGATGTATATATATGACACTTTATTAAGTACATGATCTTATGAGGTGATTCTATAATAGTAGAAGGCCTTATTTGACCCTTTTCTCTTATATAAATGCATCGTTGAGAGATTCTTAGGTAGACCCAAACTACCATTTCATCCTCACTACAAAATGTAAAGATTTGGATTTCATCCCAAAAACTAACATGATTTAACATAAATTGCCCGCAAAATTTTGGCTTTGTAACAGAACAATCTTAATATTTGGTGCTCTTAATCGGGTGTGATTATTAAAGCTTGGGTTTCTATTAAAAAAAGTCAGTTGGAAAAAACCATTCCTGAAAATTAAAAACTATGAATGTATTGTGAGTCATAGTCGGATAAATTTCTCATCGAGCATAATTAGCTCAAATAGCATATAAAAACTTGGCATTCCATTTTAAGAAGTCCACACGATAAAAGAATAACTAAATGTGTTATATATCTATATATTTGGTCAATGACTTAAAACAAAATACTACTCCCCTGTCCAATCTTTCACTTTTTGGATGCACCAAAGTATTTGTCCCATACAAAATTTGGTTATGTTGTGTTTTGAGTGGCTCACAGTCTTTCCAACTAGTACAAATTTCACTTCAACCAAACAGTTCCAGTTCTCCTTAAAATTTGTATTTGTGCCAAATTTCATGTCTCAAACTTAATGACCGAAGGTAGTAATAGTTTGAATTGTGGAGTCATTGTAAAAAACAATGACTTGTTTGAATTGTTTCGATCGGAGTGAGGATAACGTGGTAAATCAAGCCTACCTATGAATTTCTCCATGACTTTGTAACAGAGCTAATATGTTAAAAAGACAAAAACCTCATGAGCCCAAAATGGTCCTTTACTAGCATGGCATGTTTTGGAGGTACCACATCTATAAGATGGCCAGTACTTATTCAAATCATCCAGTAAACTTGAGATCTACAAAAATGTACACGCAATAACAATTATATTTTCAAACCAATTAAGATAATCACAAAATAAAGGTTAGCAAACAATAACACACCTCAGTTTCATTAAATTGTGAACCTTCACAGCACGAAGGCCATGATTTGCCTCCATTATATTCAGCCCAAAGTCCATCTGCAAAGAAATGATCCTTATACCATACAAGCTTCTATATTATACGTACAAACTATGAGCGTTTTGACTGTTTTCCATTTTACGCCATCAATTTCAAAATCTACCAAATCATGGCTAGATATTGAGAAAGGCTTCCCAATTGTCCGTGCATTAAAATCCTGTCAAATTTACTTTCTCATACCTTCCATTGAAATCTTTGTGTACATTAAGAGGAGGAAAAGTAAGAAAACTACATTCTCACATTGTAAAAGGATATCTCATACTGTAACGGAGCTAATTGTAAAAAACTACTCAAGGGAGCCAAATATAAAACTTGGAAGCCAAATATAAAATACAAACTACTCTGAATTATACAATGAGCTTTATCTTACATTGGTTAAATATAAAAATAAACTAATGAACATTTCTCTTATAAATTTTAAAAGACAGCCCAATTTACATAAGGTTTTTAAGTATTTTATTTGCATGGTATTTACTCTACAAAAAAAAACTCTATCAAGGTTACCCGACCCTCTATCCTTGTTCTAGAATCCTTGTTTACGTATGAATAATGGCGATCTGTTGTTAATTTTGAACTTGAGGACGTAAAAGTGAAAAGCGCTATAGTCTGGTAGACTTAACTAGTCAATACTTCGTATATATGACTTACGAATCGTGAATCCAATAATCGCGTTGGAGCTGCAAAAATTCACAGAGTGGTATCATTTAATTGAATAAGTCGATAAATCTTATAGCTAAAGCAACTAACTGAACTAAGAACATCTTTGATTGAGTACAAAAATTACCGGCAACAGCCATTGGCGGAACAGCATTTCTTAGTGTGGTTACATTCGGTTCCGGGCCACTCCAGAGAGAGCATGAAGTAATCGAACTCTCTCTGATCTTTCTGCAGATTCAGATCGGCTTCCAAGTCTACTCCAAGGCTGATTCGGGTCGAGCAACAGGATCCGAATAACAGTAACAGAGGCAGGAAAATCCGAAGAACAGGGAGAGAAGTCATACTCCTCAAGCCCGTTTGGTAGCACCAAAATCCGCGTTTTGGCTGATTCTGCTGAAATTTATGATATTCTGGCTGGAGTGGCTGTTTTGGCTGATTCTGCTGATTTAAGAAAAAAATATTTTAAAAATATATTTTATTAATAAATTAAAGAAAAAATTATATGTAAAAATAGCTAAAATGGTCCTCTACAGTAACTTCAGCCAATGCAGTCAGAAAAGTAATTCCAACCTTACTTTTTCGGCTTATTACACAATTCAGCGCGCGAAAGGAAAAGTTACGTGTTTGGTGAAAAAGCTGGCTGATAAGCCTGATAAGCCGAAAACAGAGTTCTCCAAACGAGCTCCTCATTTGCTATGTCTCTTCCTGGTAGAGGTTCCCGGTCCCCGATAAAAGGAAAGACGGCGATGGGCCCACTTAAACTACGCTCCCATTGGTTGTTGACTCTTTGACTTACTTTTAAGCTTGTTTGTTTGTTCTTAATTACTCCGTCTCAATTACTCCAATTTACTGTTGGAAAATGAATCGCTGTAATTTATACTCCCTCCGTCCCTAATTTACCTCCCATTTTGACCCGGCACGGGGATTAAGATAGTGGGTTTTGTGTGGTAGAGAGTTGTGCAGAGGAGAGAGAAATGTGTAAGAATTGTTGTGAACCACAAATCCTTTGCCAAAAAGGGAAAGAGGAGATAATTTAGGGACGGACCAAAAAGGAAAGTTTGAAGATAATTTAGGGACGGAGGGAGTAACAATTTACACTTGGTATCGTTAAAACTAAATTGGAAGATGCAAAAGCAATTATACTCTCATTCCTTTAAAATATCATAATAATAAAATTGACGGTCATATATCACTCTAACAATTTCGACTTCGTATCTTCTAACGAATGCTAAAAATATCAATTTAATCTAAATGTTATTGGAAAAGTCTAGAAACTACTTGTGAAACTATGAATAAAGTATGAATTATTAGTGTGGAAGAACTTTGAAATGAATCATTTTCTCATCGCCAACGGTTGAAGATACTCCCAAGGTGTGAGTCATTGATTTCTCCAAAGACGGATGATCAACCTTCACTTCATAATCACCATGAAAGAGTGAAGTCTCGAAGTAGCCCTCACTTGTTGTGGTTCCTACCATACCTTCATTGCTCATAACTTTTAGGACCCCGTCCACAACATCTCCCGTGGGCAAGTTTCTAAAGTTGTTATCGGTTAAACACATTCTGTAACAACCATTTGGTTTCCATGCAGACCAAACTATGATACCTTGAACAGCCGGGTGAGCAACGAGCTCATTCAAAATTTGCCCCAACAATGGTGCCTGAAAAAAAAAAACAATCAGATTATAGTTGTGCATACCAACATAGTAAAGTTTTGAACTATGAAACTAAGTGTACCATGTGAATACCTGATCAGGGCGTGGTGAAACATCCAACTCGGTAATCCAAATAGGAAGCTTTGAACTAGCAAGTGTATCTATAGCGGTCCTAATGTATGCCAAGTCGGGCACGTCGAAATGAGCTTCGAGCCCGATGCCCAAAGGACCATTATATTTTTGCGCTCGAAGTTGTGCTATCTTGCCAAGGTACTTGCTAGGGGTTGATACTGGATCTTCCTTATGTTCAATGGTGTTATAGTCGTTCAAGAAAGGCGTTGCCTTCCAATCAAATGAGTTGGCCATTTTATAATAAACAGCAGAAGCCTCTGGGCCAAGCTTGCCCTCAAAGAAGGTAAAGTGAAGGTTTTCGTTCATAACGTCCCAATGGATTAACTGCCCTGCATATCTCTTAATGATAGAACCCGCCCTTGCGGTAGCCGCGCTCCATAATTGATTGGTTGCCAGGTTATTTACCCAAGAAGGTTGATATTTTGGGTCATCCCAAAACACGTTATGGCCTCGAACCATGACACCTCGGCCTTTTACCAAGTGAAGCATGGCATCTGCAGCAGAATAGTCCTCGTGGCCTTGAGTAGGCTCGTTTGTGTACCACTTCATTTCATCCTCAAATGTTGTGTACTTGAACCTCGAGAAAAACCAGTTTTGATATGCATTGTTGTTCAAGATGTTCTTGTTGATAGCACACCCCAATGGAAAGTTTGGCTTCCCTCGTACAAGTGTGATCGTCGCATTCGGTAAAGGTTTCCCTTCCGAATCCACCACTTGTAACGCTACCTTTGATTTGCGTACCTGCACATTTTCAACCATATATTATTACTCTATAGTTTATTGTTCTATACCAAACAAATGTAGAACAAACATTTCAAATTCAAGTATTCAACAATATATAATACTTTAATTACCTTCTCAATACTCTTTACTTGGTGAGCTGTCCACTGCTCTGGGGTGAATTCTTTTACTGATATGCTATCAGCCCATATTTCAGCTTGGGTATTGTTGCTCTGTGAACCCACCCAAAGTAGTAAAAAAAAATGGGTAAGGGTTTATTGGAATCTTAAATAAGGAGTATAAAATAGTAAAACAAAAAAAGAAAGAGTATGTAAAAATGCCTGAAAATATAATTCAAAGGTAGCAGAAGCAGAAGCAACAATGCCCCCCTTATACATGGACCAACAGCCAGATCGAGCAATAACCCAAGCTATATGCTTGTAGCCACTTGGTGTTTTCAAAACGATTGATACATCACTTTGGCCTTCACTTAATTGTATCCAACCTACAATATATATACATATAAATAACATATTATAACAAGTTATTGAAACGAAATTTCATGTTGTAAATTAATGCATCATCTACCATACAATTAAGTTTAGAGTTTGATTTTCACGATTTGCGAAGTTGACGTTCGAATGTTCGATCATTACTATCTAGGAATATATGCTTACAAATCTATAATAAATTATCATCATTTGAGTAATACAATACGAACTATTAAAATAAAGTTTTCAGAATTACTGTCGAGCGAATGGTTAGCCATACGCTCAATGTTAACACAGTTTGACTCTAGAAGCCAAAAAATGAAATTTTAAAAGTTATAAAGTTAACAAAGTTTGATTGGGGTAAAGAAATACCTGAAACTGTATAGTGATTATTTTTCTTCAAATAAAACTTTTGAGAAAAACTATCATAAGGGTCTTTTCTATTAGAAGCAATGATGAAGTTGTTTGGAATACTGTCCCCAGAAATTCCCTTGGTTAGGTTCACATGATTATTTCCAAAAGGAGACCAGCCATGCAGTCCATCATTAAACTCTGGGTTGATCACCATTCCTCCATTGTATTGAGGCTTTAGAGGATTTTTCAAACACTGCCCACACAAATATATAATATTATAAGCAATTCAAACAGATAATGTATGTTAATATGAAAGATTCAACATTAGGAATTTAATTACCTCATTAGAGAAGCTGTAATCATAATCTTCTGCACAAACTTGTTGAAGTCCTACATACAATCGAATGAGTGAAATACAACATTAAATAGTAACAATGAATATAAATTACTCCGTATATAATATCGATTGTTATCTACCTTCCTATTATTGCAGTTTGTGGAAATGTGATAATTAAGCTGTAACTATTTACAAACTTCTCTATTATGGTATTATTATTACTATTATTATTATTGTTGTTATTATTATTATTATTATCTATAGGGAGTAATTTTTTGTTTGAACCGTGTTATGAAATTTTCGGACCTATGATTATATGAACAAAATTTTAGTGGATTGTTTTACAAAAATATCTTTCAAACTATATTTTTACCAAATTCGGATTGAGCGGGTGCTAGCATGCCTCTATGTATGCCCCTGCTTTCAACTTATACTCCGTATGAATGATCACCATTTTTTTACTATAAAAGTACCCGCTTAACCAATGGAAAATCATTAATTAAATTAATATCAAAGATAACTTAATAAGATCACTCCAGTTGTCGTCATAATAGAATATACGGAGTATATCGTATGCAGTATGCTTTGGTAAAGTTTAATTCATACAATAATTTGGACTGCAATCTCATATGAAAAGACAAAAATGTCCTCAATTAGGAATATGTTGAAGGTCAACAAAATAGTTATTGGGGGTATTTGTCTTTTCATACGGAATTGAGATGCAAAAACAAAGAGTTTTAAAAATGGGGTGCAAAGTCTAATTTAGATAATAAATTGGAGTGCAAACTCAAATTCCCTCATAATAAGGGATTGACATGAATTTGACATAATAGACCGGATATTTCATATCAAATAACTCATGCCAAAATGTTTTCTGCATGAATTTGACATATATGTGATAAATACAAATTTGACGAATTTGTATCAAAATTCCTACCAAAATAATCTTTGACGTGTATAATTTGAACATACACGTGTTTGCTTTCTTTTGTTACAACATGTTTAATTTCTCTCCTAAAAAAGAATTTAAACATCTTTAAATTCTAAGCTTACATAGCTCATTTTTCTCAATTTTTCTTCCACTATATTTTGAGAAAAAAATTGTCATTTCATGCACGTTTCCCATTTCCATCCAACCCTTCTACTGTTATACTATTTACTGTATATGATATTCATAATAACATGCATGCGAGTTAAAAAATCTTCATGATCATCAAATACACACGAAATGGAATTGCATTTTTTCGTACCAATAGTAACGACTGCAATCAATGTGCATACTACACGTAAAAGTCGTTTTCCCCTAATAGATAATAGCTCCATGATCGAGTAATAGCCGACCTACACAGAATAATAAATTAATAATGATAAATTATCATAAAATCACAAAAAGTAAACTAACACTTGATTGTGTCCTTACAAAGAGTACAAAAATTTTAAAAACATTTTTATTATACTAATATTTATACAGCCGGAATACCTTGCTTGAAGAATGTAGGTAGTATATTGCGGCAAATTGGAGGTTTATTTTCAATGATAAACAAGCTCGATAATAGACGATAAGAAATGTGTCGACCCAAGGCCATATATATAGTACTTATTCAAAAAAAATGTTCAATATAATGCTCTTAATGAATTGCCATTAGTAGTATATATTCGCTATAATAACAGGGCCTGATTTCTTTCCCAATATAATATAT